ACGGTTTCAAGAATCTGATGTCGGGTTCGGAGCGAGCCGGAAAGATACTTTGGAATACATTTCATAGTTTTGGAGATGTGGCGGTAGAGAAAAATCAAGCCTACATGAAACGCTTCAATATACCTTCAATTGCCGATAATAATTTTCCAGAGAATCCACATGATAAATCACCTTTTGGGTTTGCCTCTAATTTGGCGTTCTCTTCAAATGGGTTTTACAATCATCATCACACAGACAACGGCGATTTATCTGATCTTCCCCTTGCATTTGCCCTCATTATTCCTACTTCTAAAATTACTGGCAGAATTGCAACTAAAGCCCAGGGCTATGATGTAAAAAATGGGCATTTTATTTTTCGAGATATGCAGCTAGCCCTCAATTTCAAACCTGATACTATTTGTAGAATGATATTTCGCGCTCAGGAATATGTTCATGGTACATTATGTCCAACTGAACCTAGTTATTTTACCAAATCAGGAATGGCTTTGCAAGTTGCAACAAGGACTAGTAATGCCTGTAAAAATTATATTAATGGAGACTATGATGATGATTCAGATAAATATTTTGGTGGTGTTGAAGATCTTTTAAATAATTAGTAATTTCCTAATTTGTACATATTTATAAAATATCATCAATTGCCATATTTTTTACAAGTCATGGTTTTTGAGTCAGATAAGATTTAAATAATCATCTTCAAATATGAATGCTTTGTTTAAGATATGAATAAGAGATGCTTCAAATTTATCTCTGAGGAGAAAGAATTGATTATTTTGATGTGAATATTGAAAACTTTTTTCCAAAGGAGAGTCTTCATAATTATATCCATGAAAAAAAACTAGATCTCAAACCAATAACCCACAAATGGGCAACTGTACACCAATCTGTGTGATTGTTTAGCCCAAGGCAAGAGCACTTGAGGTAAAGTTTGAAATTGGAACCTTGTGACTGGAATCCCCAAAATCACATCATCTGTGAAAGAGGTTGAGGATATAAATAAACCCTAGTGGTGATATATAATACCAATTATATCTTTATTATATAATCTTGTGTTGACACTTTGGTTTTGTACTACATGTTACCAAAAACAATAGTATTCTCTCCTAATTTTTGCAGTGAGACATGTATCACCATACTCACTGCATTCATTTTCATGGTTGAGTGATGACTTGTAATTAAATTCAAATATGAAGATTGGCCCAAATAATTTCACATTTCATTGGAATCAAACATAACCTATGTTATTTCTGTTCAAGTTGAATTGTGACAGTGAGTGTCTCTAAGTTTTAATAATGCCAACTATATCTTGAGTGAATGATCTTTTATCAAAACTTGGTTGTGTGCTAGAATTTACAAAAAAATCACATTTTTGTATCCTTTGGTGAGAGATGTGTCAAAATTTTTACTTAGACTGTAACCATTCTTGTGGAGATGATAATCTTAGGTCTTGTAAATGAGTTCAATTTTAAAGAATGTCCCAATTTATTTTGCCTTTCTTGGGAATCAATTAATAATCAACAGTGTTTGTGGTCAAGTTGAAGTTTGGGTGTCTCTCACTTTTGATCATCTTGATTCTATGTTGATTCCATATAGCATACACTCTTTATATCTGATTTGAATCAAATCATTAAACAACTATGATGTGAAAAATCAGTAAGGATGTTATATTGCCAATCTAATAATGAAGTTTCCATCACTACAGAATACTGGATCAAAGTTGACTGCACTCAAGGTTTCAGATTCAGGAAGCATTTCTTTGAAAAATTGATTGATTGGACAATCATGCTCTATTACAGATTCCAATTTACAAATTTCTCCTGAGTATTTATATTGAAGGTCATAGTTTGATGCCTTAAAGCCCAATGGAAGTTGTTTGGCCACCCAATACTTACACAACTTTGTGTTTTTCTGTGAATTCAAAATGAAAATTCACTTTGCATTTTCCAGATTGTGAACATCTTCCACATCGTATTCAAAATCAACACAGAACAGGCTCGAGTCTGGCCCCTTCAAAATCTTCAAAATACATATCACTCAAAACTAAAATATACAATTGCGATAAAATGTCTAGAAAATCTTACGGACTTGGGATTTCTGCTCAACCTAGTGTGCCAGGAAACGAACTCCGACGCTCATCAAGAGTTAGCTCAACTGCTAGTAGACATCCCTCTATCATCCTGCCACCTTCAGATTCAAGACGATCGGTCAACAGGCCTTTACCAGCGACTCAAAAAACCAACAATAAGCGACCTAGAAGTGTTCCCCCCTCTGAAACTGAAGCCAGAAACCATGAAAGTCCTATCAACAAAAACCCTACTAAAAATCAACAAAACACCAAGAAAAAAAAACAAACCAAAAGAAGAAAAAAACGATCCAACAAAACGATAGCGATGCAGGATCAATCATCGACTTGCGTGAGGACTCTGAAGCAGACAACTCCAAGATTCCAGCAGCTAAACCTCGTCCTGAGAAGTATGATTCTCCTTTGGAATTCTTTGGAGAACCTTTCTACCCCGCGAAGACAACTGTATGTTCACAATTCTAATTTTGTATTCAAATATTGATTTTCCGCCTATTGACCTTTTTTGGTTACTATAATATCTGCCAGGAGGAAGAGTGCAAGAAGAAACCAATTACGTACAACTGTAAATGGTGCAAAAAGCAAGTTCGTGGAGGACACAATTCAGATGCAAATCTACGAAAACATCGGGATGGGTCAAACCAAACTGGACGTGATGGATCCGGCTGTCCCAATCGAAGTCTTGCAATTCAAGCAGGGGCAAAAATACCTCCTACCGTAAACGAGACTAGAGCACAAGCTGAAAAAAAAGACAATGGTGGTCCCAAACTCACGGCTTTTTTTGGACGCACGGAAAAGTTTGATAAGAAGATCCTGAATCAGATCCTGATGATATGGCAAACACGTAACGCACTCCCCTGGTCACGAATCGAGGATTTTGACTTGCAGGCTGCTTTTCACTATTGTCAATCCGACGCGATACTCTTTAAACGGAAATGGGTTGCCAGCGAGTCCAAGCAACTATACGTGTCGCTGCAAGGTACCATGCTGCAGATGTTGAAGGTAAGTTTTTTAACTCTGAAAGAAATTGTTGAGGGTAACATAGGTGACACAAGATCTAAGAGAGATGACGAGATTTCATGGACATGGTCCAGCACATTGAGTCAAGATGTAATTATCATTCAGTAAGGAAGTGGAATCACCAAGGGCACAACTAGGCTATATACATGTACAATATAGGCTAAGTTGTGGGTGTATAGGTTAGAAGCATACAACATAGGGAAATGCTAATAGACTATCTCAACACACCCCCTTGCTGATAACTCTATACAGAACAAGTCCTACTTGCCCAACCTTCACATACCCAGATGTTGAATGGCTTGGTTAGGCCAAAGGGGTTGGTCAGGGAAAGCAGCTGTCAGTAAATACAACCAAACTGAGAAAGGCAACAATGTTTATGAACCAAGGTAGAGATCCATCCTTTGCAAGGAGCAGGGAAAAGCCACAACAGCCAATATACTCAAAGACAAGCGTGGGGTAGGAATTACCTATAAGGCTAGACCGGAGTTGCCATCGCCAGAACGGAGGTTGATATTCTGATAGTCAAATTTGTGTAAGACTATCATTACAGCAACAAAAAATTAGATCGGTCACCTGAGGGGGATAAGAAAGGGAGAAAAAATTGCAGTAAACCAGAGTGTTAGCAAGCGGTTACATCTGCTTTGGTTGAGAAGCAAAGGCAAAAAAAATCAATTGTGGCTTTGGAGGGTTGATCTTGTTTCTGGAGATGTGATCGAGGCTGGAAACAGTTGATCAAGGAGCTTGAGAAGAGGACGGGTCCGTTTGAGCAGTGAACGAGTCCATTAACGCAGCAGCAAGTCCAATCAGATCGATGATGAGGCCTGTCTAGCGACGATGAGTCCTTTATAGAGACGGCGAGTCCTGTACATCAACGACGAGTGAGGTAGAGAGACGGCGAGTACTGTGAAGTGAGGCCGAGTCCTAGCGAGCTTTGACGAGTTCCGATGAGCTTGGATGAGTTCTGATGAGCTCCAACGAGCTCCAAAGAGTTCCGATGAGTAACCACGAGTACCAACGAGTCCTGAGAGAATAGCGACAAGTCCTGATGGGTTCCGAGGGGTTTCAACGAGCTCCAATGGGTCCTGACACAATCCAAAGAGACCCGACGACTTCTAACAATATCCAAAGACACCTGACGACTCCTGAAGAGATTCAAAGACACCCAACGACTCCTGAAGAGATCCAAAGAGGTCCGACAAGCTCTGAGGGATCCTGACGAGTTCCGACGAGCTCTGAGGGGTCCAAAGAGGTTTTTAAAGAAAAAATAGGAACAACAATCCCGGTAGAGTGAGTGATGCCGGTGGAAGAGAATGTGTAAAAAAATATAAAGGTGCGACAGGCGGAGCACATGGGTCTCATAACCTGTTGAGGGTAACATAGGTGACACAAGATCTAAGAGAGATGACGAGATGTCATGGACATGGTCCAGCACATTGAGTCAAGATGTAATTATCATTCAGTAAGGAAGTGGAATCACCAAGGGCACAACTAGGCTATATACATGTACAATATAGGCTAAGTTGTGGGTGTATAGGTTAGAAGCATACAACATAGGGAAATGCTAATAGACTATCTCAACAGAAATATTTCAAAGGAAGCTAAATCTAAGTAAAATCAATTTAAAATCTAGAAATCGTCTTCCAAGTTTACTCTGGTACATGATGTTTGGACAACAAAAGGCAACCGTTATGCATTTATTGGATCATCTGTGGCGTATATCAACGACGAATGGGAGTTCAATATGTCGCATCTCTCTCTGAAGTTGGTATCCTGGTTTCATCAGGGAAAGTGGCTTGCAGAACCGCTTGCAAATGTTTTAAAGAAACATGGATTATATCCCAAGATAAGTTGTACACCTTTCTCAATTCAATTCAGAGTCAAAAAAAATTCATGCACTGGTTCAATGCTTATATCAATGTTTTGAAATTATACATGCTTGCACAGACAACTGATTCAGCTTCAAGCAACAACACCATGGCAACTCGTGTTTTCGATATCTTGGCGGAAAAAAATGGGACATACACATTTGATTGGCGTCCACATAATATGCATATCCGTTGTTTCTGTCACAAGATTGCATTAATCGTCAATGCTGGTCTTGCCGAGCTTGGAATGATTGCGCCTCCCCCCTCCAAAGTAAAGGAGTCAATCCTTGGAACATTCCCGTACTCCGATGTCATGGAAACAATTGCTGAGGTGGAAGAAGAAATGGAAGAGGACAACAATGATCAAGCCAATGGTCCCGATCATCAAACCAATCCGAGTATCGATGACGATGAAATTTCTGAACCAGAACACGATGAGGAAGAGCTTGCCAGGCTAGGTGACCAACAAGACAAGGAAGAAGAAGACAACAACCCAGGTGAATACCAGGCGGCAAATCGTAATGAATCCAATAGGTTAGACCATGTAACTAGAAAGGTGTGAACTCAATCTTATCAAGTTTTTATCCCCAAAACTTCAAATTCTGATTGAAAACTAATTTGATTGTCCACCAATTGAAATTATAGCTGGACTTTGTTGTTCGCAAAATCACTTCAACAAGCGCATGGCGACAGGTATTTATTTGCAAAACCAATAAAAAAGGCTTGAAACTACGCAGTCTCATTCCTGGCTATGGAATAAGGTGGAACATAAAATTTGAAAGCCGTGAACGTGCTTATGAGGCACGTGAAGTACGTCTCCTCATAATTATTGATATACCACCATATTAGAGTTAATTTTTCCCCTTTGGCCGATATATCAAGGTGATTGATGAGATTCTAAAAGAAGATCTGGAGAAAGTACATGCCCAACGTGCACGACAACGAGGTCGAACTTCCCAGAAGGAGCTTGGCCATTTTCAAGAGATAACAATTTTGTCACATGAATGGCAAGAAATAAAAGAATTAAATGACGAATTGAAGGTTGGATGCTTTTTTCAATCATTTTCTGTGAGATTTGTCAAACTGATCATGATTATATTTATGTTTAGTACTTTTTCTTACTCACAAAGAAGATGGAGGGTGATGGTCCGACTGGTAGTGCTGCCATACCCGAGTATCTTCAAATGAAAAACACTCTCAAGAAGAAACTCGATTCGTCAAACCGTAACGATCCTTTACATCCAATGTTCGTCAAGATGTTTGAGAAAACCAATACTTACTTGTTGGAAGCACTTGCTTGTGAAACCCTGGTGATTTCGACTATTCTAAACCCATCTTTCCGTCTTGCTATCTTTGAGAAGCATTTTCCAAAAGAAGCATTGGATGCAAAGAAAAGACTTGTGGAATTGTTTGAAGAAAGAAAGAACCAAATGGCGGAAAAGATTCAACAAGAAAAGGAGCGTGAAAAGGATACGGCTTTGAAGGAAAAGGAGACAAACGAAGACGATATCTACTCATTTTTCAGTGGTCCAAGCAACAATTCAGGCCAGGATGAAATAGAAATGTACTTGGGAGGAGTGGATTGTATCATCCACGGCAATAAAAAGGATTATATGTTTTCCGCATTGAATTGGTGGAAGGTATGTTTCTCATTGGCTTCTTCAAATGAATGATTGTTTTTTTGTTGATAGATTGAATTTTCAGGAACACGAGCTCAAGTATTTAATACTCTCAACTTTGGCAAAAGACTACTTAGGCTGTGTAGCATCTTCTTCATCTGTTGAACGAACTTTCTCCGCAGCAGCAGATGTCTGTACTAGTACTTGTGGCAAGTTGTTGCCAAGAACAATTGAAAGATCTGTAAGTAGCCGCTTGTGGTTGCGTGATGATCTTCCATTGGGAGAACACTTTGAGGGGGCAGCCAGGCAACGCGATAACTTCAAATTATTTTGTGAAGAAAAAGAATCTCAACGCTTGAAAGGCACACGGAAATAGAAATTTGTTTTCATTATTTCATTCTTTTTTGCTTGCATATTCATCATTATCCTAGTTACAGTCAAGTTATCCTAGTTAAAATCAAGTTATCCAAAAATGAAAGAATGGTAACGTATCTTGAAATCAATCAAGTTACATAGGAACGTAACTACAAGTTCAAAAAGGGTTTTGTGGGAAATGATATCGTAAAGGAAATAAAGTTATCAGTAACTGGCAGGTAACGTAACCGTAAAGGTTACGTTACACACAGAGTTATCCACTTGGGTAACGTATCTGCCCACCGTTGCATTGAGCCACTGTTTAAGTTCTGTATTCTCTGGTATTTTTTGTTTCCTTTTAGCCCTACTGTCTTCCTTGTGGTGCTCCAGATGAAACCAATGTATTTCTGTTCCTCTTTGAACTGGGTGTACTTGGTTGCATTTGTCTGGACTCTGAGTTTCTCTGATTGGGCTACAATGTGCTCTGTTTCAAATTTAGAGCTTGCGTGTATGACAAAGAGGTTGTTTTCCACCCAGAAAAAGATTCTTACCAAGTCAAATTTGTGTAGTAGAGATTGTTCGTCCGTACTTTTTGCAGGTACCTGGTACCTCCTGGGGGGTACCCCTCACACCCGCCCCGCACCCTCCAGGAGGTGCCAGGTGCGGTACTTGGTACCTATTTTTGTGAAAATTTGAACAGGTACATAGGTACCTCTACAGGTACCCCCTCACTTCCCTACCAAAAATCAAAATGATGGTGGCCTTCTACTCCAAGAACTCCAAGATCCAAGAAGGTACCTTGGCTGCATGGAAACAGGGACTCAAGGATAACAAGAAGTCTAACAAAACATCAGAAAGGAAGGTGATGGTTTTGGATGACAATGAAGATTCTTCCAATTAGTTATAAGTTGTAGATAGTTTAAACTTTGCAATAAATTATTAAATATGAACAAATGAAAAAAATGACTTGGGACTGATGTTTTACAATAAATATGAAAAAAATAGAAAAGTAAGATTCTTCCAATTAGATGTAGATATATTACAACAGATATAGAAAATGCCAAAAAAGTGACTTGTGAGTGATATTTTACAATAAATATGAAGAAATAATAATAATAATAATAATAATAATAATAATAATAAAGTGACTTGGGACTCTGGGAGTGAAACTAGGTGAAAAAGAGAGGGGGGTACCTGAGGTACCTGCATGGGTACCCCCCGGGAGGTGTCTGGTGTGGTACATGGTACCTATTTTCTTGAAAAAATGAACAGGTACCTAGGTATAAACAGGTACCTAGGTCTGAACAAACAATCTCTATTTGTGTAGCATTAGCTGCTTCCAGGTGTCTACAGGTCTTCCAAATGAGCCACAACCTGCTACTCCTCCAAAACAATGTGTGTGTAAATGAGGATACTGCCATTGATGTCTCTTACCATTAGGTAGGCCCACTGGGACTTGGCTGTTGGTATCTGGTGGTAGGCCTTTTACCAGTCAAAAAAGTCTAGTAGGAGTAGGGCAGTCTGTCTCCTAGAGAATTTTGATACCTTCTCAAAGTCATCTCAGGTGGTTGTGTGGTTGATCTTTTCAACAAATGAGTTTACTGGAAATACTGTCAGGTCATTTCTTGGAAACAACATATTGTTGATTGGTCTTATGGACCCATCACCACTGAATGCTGCTCCTAGTGGGTTGGTTCTAAATAATTCAAATCTCTTCATGAGTAATTTGTGGGTGTATGGCCCAAACATCTGACCGGCCTCTATTTCTATTGACTGTTCTATTTTTTTCTTGTGCCAGTAGCATTGACTGTTCTATTTTTTTCTTGTGCTAGTAGCTCTGATTGATGGTTGGGTGGAGTGAAATATGGTATGGCTGGGCCAAGGTTTTGGTTAGGAATGCCTTGGTCAAAGCCTTCCTTGAAGCCACATATCACATCCTCAAATTCACTTACCAGGTTTGCACCCTTGAGTGCTTTCTTCCACTTTTTGATGTCCATCTCACATTGGATGTTATTGGGCCACTCAGGGGTGGTGGATCTATTGTGTGCCAAGTGTTGGGACTCATCTTGGGATGGATGGACACCACTTACTTTGTTGCAGCACATAGCTCCTTGTGGGAAAAGGGGGGGCACACTTGTGTCATGATGGTCTGGAAGGTCTCTTTGAATTGCATATGGCTTATTATATTCCTCTGACTATGTACAGGTTTATCTGTATGGTGTTTTCTCCACGGCTTAGGATATACAGTGATGGGGGAAAGAGGAAAAAAGGATAGGGAATAAGGATGAGAAAAAGGGGGAGTTCATGGGTAGGATGTGTCAAGGGGGAGGGGGAAGGGAACATGGAAATTGGTAGACTGAAATTGAACCTACTCATTGGATGACTTCCCTTCACAATCTAGGACCCTCCCTGAAGTTGATTTACACCCTTTAGATCTAAACTTTTGTCTGAAGCCTTCTGGCAATAGCTCTCCATGAGCTGGTTGGAATCTCAATTATGTTCTTAATTTAAGACTTAGAGAGGTTGAAAAAGCACTCTAAATCGCCACAGGAAGTACTCCATTGCCTCTTATCCTGTTGGAGATGCCATGGTCCGAGTCAAAGTTCTTCCCCTTGTAACCTGAGTTCTGGGCAGGCCTGCCTTGGTCTGGTCTAGGGGGTAAGGTGTTCATTGTTGCTGGCAGTGGCACTTGACTAGAGTTTCTGAAAACTGTTTTGTTGTTGTTTTTTGCCATTGATTTGGACAAATTGGCAGACTTCTGGCCTGTGTGAGGGTCCATCCATATCTCAAAGCTCCTAGTGCGTAGGGTTTGTCCCAGCGGTGGGCCGCT